ATAATATTTAGTATTTTCTATTCAGTACATTCAACATTTAAACAGAACTAAATTATGCAAATGATACACTCTTGTTTTAAAAATAAAAAGGAGAAAACTTACTAAAAATTAAAATAATATAGCTTTCAAAGAAATATCATACCTCTGTTGAAGTAGCTTGTCGTGCAGTTGCAAACACATGTCTCAACATAACTGCTTGAGTTTTATTTTGAGCTTGTTTATTTTGTATTGTTTGTGATGGCTTTTGTGTTTTAACAGTCGTAATTGTACGACCACCAGATTTATTCGTCGTGAAGGCACCATCACCTCTGGCAAGTAAGCTTGGTGGCGGTTTCAAGTGAGCTTTTAATTGATCTCTATTTGGTGAACTTTGAATAACCTACAATAATATAAACATATTTTATTTAATAAAATAAAAAAAATATTTAAAATTTGTTTAAATAAAGACAAGTTTGTTAAATTACCGCTTGACATATTTGATAACTGCGTTCCAAGTTAACAGCACCAGGTGGTTCTTTTGTAGTACTACGAGATCGACCTCCTCCTTGTTCTTTATTACTGTTCCTTGAACCTCTTTGACTACTTTGATTATTAGAACGTGAAGATCTCGAAGACACAGCTACTGTTGCTCCAGGATATTGTTGTTGTATGGTCGCTACAACTTGACGCGGTTGCGTGGGGGCCGATGCTTGATGTTGAATAACGATGGTATTTTGTGCACGATTTTGTGGTTGTACACCAATCGCGGCTGTTACGGTATTTTGAACTTGATTTTGGGTCACGTTACTTCTAATATTTCGTGTATTATTATTTTGAGTATTTAGTTGAATAACTTCTTCTTGTGTTCTCATTATGTTTACATGCGAGGTTGTATTTTGTTGATTCTGTATTTGAGCAGTAATTGGAGACGTGCTGTTCAAAGTCGACGCGGAGTTTTGATCAGAATGAAAACTAGTTTGCACGAATCTGATAGATTGCAGTTGTGGAAAGGCAATAATAGGTGAACTCTGAGTCTGAAAATTCTTCATTATACAACTCGTTCCCGGTGTGCCGATTGCGAGACCTTCCGATTGAAACGGCGTTCCTTGAACAACCGGTAGTTGAATACAGTTAACGGATTCTACATTCGAATCTGTGTTGATAAACTGTTGAGATGGGTTAGTCGAATCGGTCGAAGTGGGTGTCTCATTGCATTCGTCCTGAGTGGTCACCGTAATGTTAGCGGCTACAGATCCGTCAAGAGCTGCAGCTACTAATGGCCATGGAACTTGAAGCTCTTCCTGAGTCTTCATGAAATAAAATTAACTTTTCTCAATACAAAAATATATTATCGGTCATCATACATTAGAAAAAGTAGATACGAAGTTATTAGAATTTTTTATCAGTACACTTACCCTATTATTATTGTTAATATTGTTAACTGTGGGGTCTACCGACCAACTACATTCTAACATTTCAGAACAGACGTAGTTATTTGCTTCTCGAAGAGCTTCGTCTTCATTTCCACTATTTACATCTTGTTGATCTCTAGTGGCCTCTGACTGTCCTGATACCACTTGTGTTTCAGTTTCTTCGGTATTATTCGATCCCATCTCCATTCCATCGAGAATAGGGTACATTATTTCTTCGGGACATCCCGAAATCTCTTCGTACGCTTCGCGCATTTCTCCCCTTACCTGAAAGAGGTGTATCATATTTTTTTTTTTTTTTTTTTTTTAACAGAACTTGATAATTTTATGTTGTAAATCTTTACAAACGGTATAAATTATCACCTCCAATTCGTGAATACGTTGTAACGTTTCACTGTCGATCTCCATTCCTTCAGGAATTTGCGATTCACCGTCCGTTGGATTTTCATGAGAAACCTGCGTTGTTTCAGTGTGATTGTTATTAATTAATGTGGAATCATCCATAACAATTTCAGTTGATCTAACTTGCTCATGTGGGGGTGGTGTCTCGAGCATAGTTGTAGTCTCGCAATCGGACATCGAATAAATTTGTTCCTCCGACATTTGAGATATTTGCTCTTTCGATATTTGAGGTACTTGATCTACAGAAGTTTGAGATGTGCATTCTGTTGATAACTGTGATGATGTTTCCCTAGATGTATGAGACATTTGTTCTGTTTGTTCACTGGATCTCGGTGAAGCATTCTCTTCTGGTAAGAGTATCGTATCTTCTTCGGATACTTCGAGTATATGATTCTCCATTGCTTGAAGATTCTTTTCATCTTGAGGTAAATGTATTTCTTCATCATACGTGTTTGAAATACTTTCTTGACAGACCTGTGTTACTACTTCATTTTCTTCGATTATATTTTGTTTTTCTGGTAAATTAATAATTTTATCATCTTCCTCGAGTTTATCTTGATGCATTTCAGTATCAACTATTGTTTCTACAGAATTTATGTTTACAGATTCTATGTGTTTTTCGTCAATTAACGTATGTGCTGTTTCATTATAGTCTGATGGTAATAATTCTTGTATTTCTGTTTCATTCAATTCATCTGAATTATTTATACTAGTTTCAACTTTACAATTATCTTCTTCCACTTTATCTTCAGACACAATAATAGGACAGGGAGTATCTGATACAGGTGTATCTACATTAGATTCTAAACGAAGTCTTAAACTCGAACGCGTTACAGCTCCCCCAGATCTTGACTCTGTAATGCAGTGGAGACCTGATCTAAGTTTGGGTTCACGTTTTTCACCCCATATAGGTTCAAAATGTTTCACTTTCCATGGATCTAATTTGTTTTTATCTCTTTCTGCCTCCATCTTCAATCTTTGTTGATTCTCAGGTGTAAATTCTCCTTCTGCCAAGCGTTTACGCCATTCTAGACATGCTCGAGCAAAGAATTCATTGTTTAATCCAGATGTGGCAGCATCCTAATAGCAATAGACAACATATATTTTTACATAAAAGATTATCTTAAAGATTTCACAAAGAAATAATTACAATAATTGACTAATTCACAGTACTAATGCATTATTAATAAATATAAATTGTTAAAATTACCTGTCTATCTACAGCAGGTAAAAGTTGTGCAAGCTTTCTTTGATACAAAGGTGGTAACCCTTGGAAGGTATGCCTATTTAAAAGAGCACGTAAACTTGTACTTGCTAAGATACTTGCTGGAGACTCAAGATCTACAAGACCAGCCTCCAGTTGTGCAGTTGCTGATAATCGTTTCGTTGATCGCCTACGTCCAGATTTTAAACTAAATCCTGGCAAACTTGCCAGCACTTCTCTCATTGTGGCAGCAGGCTCTTCAGTTGCTTTATTCAAATAACATTACATTAAAATATATAAAGATAAAGTGAAAAATGAGTATATATTAAAATTACTCTTTTATCATATTATATATTTATATTTAAATTTATGTAAACATAAAATAATAAATACATTACACTTACTAGTATTAATATGCTGTACATTATTAACTGGAGATGGTGGATCATTTGGTGGAGGTGGAGGTAATGGTTTAACAACAATCCTTGGAAGAGTACGAGAATTTCCAGCTGCGATAGTTGTATTTTTCCTACGTCTTTTGGCTTGCTGTCGTAATGCATGTTTGATAACTTTTTTACTGTGCACCATACTAGAATAGCCAGAGCAACCTGGACTAGTTTCACACCCTTCACCTTTGGCAAGTTCTACATCTGTGTCCATGACAGTACCTATACTGCGAACATCGTTGATCGAAATGCCGGCTAATCGAACGTGAATCCACGATAGCACTATATTTGATCAAATATAACCTTTGTATGTTTTATTTCATATTGCAGCAAAAAATTCAAAAAACGATTACTCTGGCTTAAGAAATAAACATTCTTCAGTAACAGCACCTTCTTGACATTTCAATATAGTCAAAGAAACTCAAACAATTTAAACAATATTTTTTAATTCATGTTGTTCAAGGAATTGTGTACGCACAAAATTCAAATGAATTTACAAATTTCACTGTTTCTTAATCTATTGGCAAAGTGCCATTCGGTAAAACTCGCAAAGTTCCGCTTCTGTCGGCCATATTGTATTTACATATTTATACCATGGAAGCACCATCACATAGATTGCTTTTCAGTTCAATAGATATTGTTACCTATATTAAAGTCGATTCTTCACTTTCCCATGAATTTAAAAATGATACATTATTAAATCTGAAGAATACAAAATGATTAAAAATTGCGAAATTAGAATTGGAGATTGGAATAATTTCTAAGAAAAATAATGAAATTTGTTTTCAACATTAAATATTATCTTTACAAGAAAATCGAAAATATGAATGTTCTGGGAATATTTTGCTTTCTATAAGATATTTTTCTACAAATAATATGAATGGACAGACAAATATATTCCACTACACAAGACCAATACGAAAATAAATTTTAAATCACGATAGGATTTTTGATTGGATAATAAGAACTATCTTAACTAAAATTGCATAGATTTTATTAACAAATATTTTGTACACAAAATGATCTTTGTCATTTTATTACATATGTATATGATAATCTTTTTAAATCATAAATCATAAATTATATTTTCTTAAAATTACATAAATCTTATCCTAAAATTTTGCCGCCCATTGTACTATTTAAAAGATTATAAAATCTATGAATGCAATTTTAATACTCAACAATTTTTTTAAACAAAAACTTTTTCGTTCTTTCTATGACCTACGATATATTTTATATTATTCTAAAAATAAATTAGTTACAGAAAACATGAAATTTTCGTGCAAAATCGACCTAAGGATTTTTTTCTTATAATTGCCATTCTACATTTCCCGCCAACATGGCAAATATGGCGAAGCTCGTATCGTTTCCCGCCAAGCCCTCACGGAGCTCTCGTATGGCGCACCTTAGTTGTATAGCAGTATAAATTAATCGTGTTTTTTTGTGATTTTTCTCGAGTTTTTCGATAAAAATGGGGCAGTCAGACGATGTAGAAGATTCTACTTACAGTAGACATCAAGATTTGTGTCAGAAATTGAATATGGATGCAACTGCTGCTTCTGAAGCTTGGAAATCTTATGAGACTATTCGACAAAATTATACTCTTGAGGTATTTTTTGAATTACTCATTTTCCTGATTATTTTGTATTGTATTAATTGTTTAAGATTAAACAATATAGTCCCTCCGTTTTACATTCACGAGATGCAAATATGTTATTTGACTTGTTTATTTATAACATATAAATTGTTGACTCCTCTGCTCAACGTTTAACGTTATTGAATTCTCAATTTGTTTTACTCATATGATTAAAGTGTACTAATTTTAAATATTAAGATAAGCTGTTAAATGCACATATTTTAAAATACGAGAAATATTTTTATTAATAAACAACGATTAATTTATAAAACCTAATCCATTACTGACATAATTTGATACTTTATTATTTATAAATTAATACTAATTTTATATGTTATGTAATTTATTAATAGTTTACATCTTAACATTTCTTTTATTTATTCTTATTTATAAAAATTTTCATATAAGACATATCATTTAAAAATAATATGTGTACATATAATTGTATAATTATATATGTAGTAAAAATTCTTGTATGTTTTTTAGGGTGATCAATTGCATTGGATAGGGTGTGCATTATATGTAGCTTGCCGTAAGTCTTCCATTCCTACTGTTGGAAAGACTGGTACTAATGTGGAAGGCAATTGTGTATCATTGACACGTTTATTACAATTGTGTAACCTTCCTTTAATACAATTCTTTACAAAAAGTAAATCTTGGGCTGATATGGCCAATATGCCACAAGATTTTCGCTCAAAGATTGAAAAACTTGAAGGAAACTTTGCAGTTTCTATGGTCATATTTAAAAAGTATCAGCCAATTTTTACTGATATATTCAAAGATCCTGTAGATGATATTTCACGGCCACCAAGATCAAGGCGGCACAAGGCACTACCCTGTACACCTGCTAGAGTATTTGAATTTTGTTGGACATTATTTATTTGTATAAAAGGAGCATTTCCAGATATTTCTGATGATCTTGTTAATTCTTATCATCTTCTTCTGGTCTGTTGTGATCTTATATATAGTAATGCTCTTCTGGCTAATAGAAAGGATCTTTTAAATCCTAATTTTCCTGGTAAATATATGCTGATCATGTATGAAAGTCTAAATAGAAATAAGTTTTTTATTTATGTATTTTTTGGCAGGTTTACCTTCAAATTTTAATGATGAGAATTATATTCCACCTCAAACAGCAAATTGTATAGTTAGTTTGTTATGTGAACGTCATGAAGCTATTGCAGTTGAAGCTAAAGTAATTAAGGAGTACTATTTGAAGAATCATATTAATAAATTGTTCAATGAAAGAGTCCTGCGTGGTGATCAGTCAAATTTTTCTGGTATTTTAGAAGCTTTGAATTTTGATGGCAATAGCAAAGCTATCAATAGAGTCTATGAACAACATGTACTAAGTGTTGGAGACTTTGATGAAAGGATTTTCTTAGGTAATAATATTTTTTATTAACTATTTTTGTATAAAATATCTAGCTTTTAAACTGGCTTACTACTATAGAAAGAAATGCTTGTAAATATAACGATATGTAGTGCTATTAGCTGTATGCCTGTATGCTTCTTTTTATCAATTTCTGCTTTAATAAACACAAATTGCTTGTATATCATAAATTAGAGGGAATAATTTTATAGATTTTATAATTCCTTTTATTATATATTAATAAACACAGTTGTAATGTACATACGAAGTTACAAATGTAATTGAAATGATATTCTGTTACTTATAAACAACTGCTTAAAGAATATTATTGTTCTGAATGTTTATAAATAGTAAATTTTCTTATTTGTATATAGTTATCTATGCAAAGCTTTGAAGGTTATTTTAGATTTGCTTATGTTTTTTTGATTTGCATTTTTTAATAAAGGACAGAATACTTGATAATCTTTATTTTGTCTTTTTGGATAATTTTAATTTCTTGCTGTTAACCAATTTGTGTCTGCTTTGTCTTGATTGTGGTATAGCTGATTGGAGGAGAGTGAGATTAAATGGAATATCAAGTTTGGAAATAGTTGGAGGAGATCTAGCTTGTCATGCTAAATTATCTAAACATATTTTCATGAGAGGTAGGTTTATAATACATAGAAAGCTGCTATCAAAAACTAATAATAAGCTTTGTATCAAATAATATTAAGCTTTAGCATGAGCAATATTTACATTTATATTTTTATCTAGTTTTTTAATGTGATTATGTATAATTTATTTTAAAATTCCAATATGTTATAGATATTGTATGTGATATTATTTTATTGCAGGCCATGATGCTAGTAATAATATTGGTTCTCCTACACAGATGATGAATGTTGGTGATCTCCATGAACAGTTTCAAATGAAAAAGGAACAATATAGTGGGGTAAATATTATAACAATTTTATACAGAAGCACATGTATATGTATGTTTGTATATAATTTATAAAAATTTTATTTTGAATAAATTTATACTTACATAAAAATGTCTATAGCAGATACAGCATTTAGCTCCACCTACTCCATTAACTGGGCGTAGTTACCTTAGACCAAAAGATATTACTAATGTGACACCAGTGTCCACTGCAACGCAAAGCGTAATTCGACTTCAAGCTATGTTGGCAGGTCAGACTTCACCAAGTGAAAATTTATTGCAAATTTTAAGTAGCTGTTCTCAAGATGTAAAGACTCTCGTTGAGACAAAAGTCAAAGAGCTTGGAGAACAATTTTGCGCTAACTACAACAAAAGTACAAATGCGAATGAAACCACATCAGATTTTGGAAAGAAAAGACTTTATCTAGGTCAAACACTTTTCTACAGACTTTTAGAAATGATTTTAAATGATGAAAAACGCAAGAAACCAAATTATGACGTAACGGTATGTTAATTGATTATTTAACCAGTTGAGTGCCACTTTATCAGGCCACAATGTATAGTTGGCATTGTGTTAATAAATTTTGAATATGCAGAACAAACGTACTGACAATATCAAAATTTTAATGATAGATTTAAACTATAAAACATAAATTTGTAACTACAAGAATGTTCAATATAAGCTAGTCATCGGAATTACAAACAGAACATACTTCCTATGAACAAAAAAAAAACAAAATGATCGCGCTGTTTGACACTTTTCAGTCAAATTTCTGCACTAACCTGTGGCACTCAAATGATTAAAATTAAAGAAAATAAATTAATTAATGAATAATATTTAAATTGATATGTTACAGAATCTTCTTACAAAAGAAATCTTTATTCAATGCTTATTTGCCTGCTGCCTAGAGATAGTCATTTATTCATACAAAAGTAATGACAAAATCTTTCCTTGGATTTTGAATGCTCTGAATCTAGATGCCTACTATTTCTACAAAGTAATAGAAATTATAGTCAGGGCAGAAGATCAATTATCTCGCGATGTTGTAAAACATTTGAATCAAATAGAGGAAAAGATTCTAGAATCACTTGCCTGGCAAAGCGATAGTCCCTTGTGGGGTGCCATTCAGTCCACGGCAGAAGGTGTTCCGAGTTGCGAAGAAGTTTCTTTGCCTGGTATGTTGGAAACTGTCGATCCAAATATTCCAGGACAACCGGTATTGAGAAGAATCGCCTTGGATCGTGGCACTCATCATGATGTGCAACAAAGTCCTATTTCCTCTGCCTCAGAAAGATTTCAGTCTCCTGTTGCAGCATCTGGTGTGGCTAAGAAACGTTTATTTCCTGATACTAGAATTGGCGGACAAAGTGTTTTGCGAGTGGCAGGTCAAAACGTCTTACCATCGAAAGTTTTGACTATCGATGGCAATCCTAGAATACTTTTATTACCTGAACAAATAACAGTTCCAAGAACGTCTAATGTACAGACTACGGCAGCTCCAATGCAAACTATAGCGGTTAATAGAGAACCAGTGAAACCAAAACGAACTGGTTCTGTTGCACTGTTTTTCAGGAAATTCTACAATCTAGCTAGCGTGCGCATGTTAGATTTATGCGGTTCTCTAGAAATAATGGATACAGACTTAAAGAAAAAGATATGGACAATTTTCGAGTATTCCATTAAAGAACGAACAGAATTAATGAAAGATCGTCACTTAGATCAAATTTTAATGTGTGCAATTTACGTTATATGCAAGCTAGTAAAGATGGAAAAGAATTCTTTCACTGAAATCATGCGGTGTTACCGATTACAGCCTCAAGCAGAATCTCATATATACAGATCAGTACTTATATCCAAAATAGTGACTGGTGAATCACAAAAAAATAACGAAGAAATCGGGCAAAAAGATATCTCGGATAAAGAAACCAATGTGGCACCTCCTACGCCAACGAACATGGCTGGAACATCGCAGAATTTTGGTGAAGAAACGCGAGGTGATTTAATTAAATTTTATAATACAGTATATGTGCCACAAGTGAAAGAAGTGGCGAATAAGTTGGGATTAGCACGTGGCAGCGTAATGAATTTGTCGTTAAGTCCATTACCGAAGGGAAAACCTCCTGCAAATTCACCAGTTAGACGTGTCACCAGTAGTATTATGACGCGTACATTAGATCCGAAAGCTATTTCAGCTTCTCCAGCACCGCAACTTAGTTATTGCTTTAGTCGTAGTCCTGCTAAGGTAAATTAAAGTCACTCTTTTATAGTATATAAAAGAAAAATTATATATATATATATATATATACACATATATATTTCTCTTTCATAGGATTTGGAGGCTATTAATAAAATGATGATTTCCGTCGATCCTAAAAGATCTGTCGGTAAACGACTTTTATCGGATGATACTGACGTGGAGATGTCAGAAGGAACATCCCCGATTAAAAAAACAACTGCGTTCGTCGCACGTAAATTGGAGAACATAATCGGCGAGCGACGTACACAAAATCAATAAAAAATTCAATTAAATGTCCAGATAAGTTATTAAAAATATGGGTAACGAAAGGAAAACAGTTTTTCTAGGCATCTTCGTTTCCTTTATATAAAAAAAATTTTTTTTAATCAAACGAATAGGAACAACCATTTTGAAGTCGAATTTTTGTTTCTTGGCTGTGTGGCTTAAAATAAATGAAATGTTCGCTTCTCAGGTATGATCATGTTAGAAACAGAGAAAAAGGCCCGTATGATACCTGATCGTATGTAAGGATACGATGTTGTTATATTAAGTAAAGCCAGAGTTTTATTTCCAGTGTCTTTTTTAAATATTTCAATAAATTTGATCAAAATAAAAATATTTTAAGCACTATTTTAAAGAAAATGATTTCAAAATGTAAAAAAGATAATTTGAGCATTTTTTTAATACTTCTTCTTTAAATGTAGTTTAATTTTAAATATTCTATAACATATTATGTTTTCTTTAGATAAGTGTTTCATTATTACAATACCATGTGTTAACACAGAACATAAATAATTTAAAAACTGCTTTAAGTTATTACATGTGGAGAATATATTATGTTCAGTTTATTATAAACGAATTGTTCAATTTTCATCTTTCACTGGAAATGATTCTGACTTTTATTGATATCACTAATCAGTGGTATTTTGATCGAGCTATGTACTCTCTCTGAAATTATATATATAACTTATATATAATGTATGATGAATTTGTAAGAGTTACGGCCATAGACGGTAAAAGAAACATTACTTTACCAGTAGATTTAAGCATGCTGCAAAGGCAATTAAGTGCTCAAAGCATGCAAATACGATTTGGGTGATATTTAATTAAATTTACTAGACGTAAGTTTGAATCTAAAGAAAAATTTTCAATGTTCAATCGTCTTTTTCGAGTGTAATAAGTTATTTGCGTTACTCGAGATTTCATTCGTTTCGTGAATTGAGACTTCCAATTTTTGATCACGCCCAATGGTGTGCATATTAGATATAAGCGTTTCTTTCAAATTCTACATTTGATCTCATTAAATTTGTCTTTTTATTACCAAACAATACATATAAATTACAAATAATATTATTATTAAGATTAAAATGATATTTGAATAACTTAGAATTGAAGAAAGCTCTCGTTTTTCCAAGATATTTTTCATAAATGCGGAACAATTTTATAACAAAATTTGTTAATGAAAATTCGCTCGATTCGCTCGAACGGAGGTCATGATTGTAATAACAATTTTTCGATCTTGCTGTTACATATGACAGCCCAATATACTGCGTGTTTCGTTGTATATGAGAAGTACGACAGGAGTAGTAGATTTGGAATATTAAAATAAGAAAAAGAGTTCATATAAATATATTCTGATATGATCGTGTTTACAGAATTATATCGTATTTGGTATTGCAATAATCCTTTCTGTGTATAAGTACCCTACAACATAAATATTAGTTTAGTCATTATGAGGTCATAATTTGTAAATAGTATTCGGTATTTTATTATATACTATAAAAGTTATTGTTGTGATGAATTACTGTATTATGAATAATTGTCAAATTGCGGAATAAGTAATATACTCATATTCAAATACTGAAATGGATGATATACACGTATGTTGCACCTGTAATTCATTACAAAGATATCTTTTATAGTACATAATAAAATACCGCGTATTATTTACAAATTATGACCTCATAACGACTAAACTAATATTTATGTGTAAGTATCTTACACACAGAAAAGGCTATTGCAATACGAAATACGATATAATTTACAAACAAGATCATATCGAGCATATATTTATATAAATATCTTATTTTATATATCTTATTTTAATATCTCAAATCTACTTCTTTCATACTTTCCACATGCAATAGAACACCTTGTATTTACAAAGTTTTCAAGCTAGAACAATATAGTTCAACGAGAGATTTCACTTCTCGTTATGCACTTATGGCAGTTCCTCTAACGATTTCTTCTAGATAAAACGAAAATGTAAAGAGTTTTATTGGCATATAATAATTATAAAATAGTTTATGTGTACATAGTATTGTAATTCGAAAGTAAATTAGAAAAATAAAAGTCGGAAATTTTATATGTTATACTTGTATTAATGTTATTGAGAAAAACATACATTTAATATTAAAGTCTTATATTTATAACAATTGATGCATTTTTATTATTCATTTATAAAATTTTAATCTAATGTAATATTGTTAACAAAAGTAATTCTATTATGTAAAAATTAAATTTATATTCAAAAAGTTTGCAGATTGGGAAACTTGTAGATTATACAATTTCGTCCATAACAGAGTCAGAAGAAATTTTTTTCATAATAACTAAAATTTATAAAATTGAGTTAAAAATCTAATATATATTTAAATAAGAAAAATATCAATTTACTTTTTATTGGATTTTTTGTTTGCTAACAAATTGTGGAATTTAGAAAATATATTAATAAAAAATATAACCTAAAAATATTCGTAGAAATATTTTATATTTAATACGTCAATAAGTGAACAATTCACTGCAAGCTTGATAATTTAATATTTAAAAGAAAAGAAGACTCTTTATTCCATATTTCAGTTATGTATCTTAAATAATATGCAAAACAGTGCTTTTAATTAAATGTCATATTAAAAAATTTATGCAATAAAGATGTATTTCATTGTTAAAATACGACATACTCAATCTTCTATAAAACAAATATTTAGAAATATTTTTACTGATGGCATAAAATACAATATATCGAAACAAAGTAAATTTATAAACAAATTTATAAATAAAGGCAAGTCAAACAGGTAATGCATCTTAAATTTAAAAAATTTTTAAAATCTTGTATATATTAGTTTTTAAATTAATTATTACTCATAAATAGGAATTTATTAATCCAGGATATCATAAATCCATCTTCTGGTGCATCAACAAAGAAGGAACTTTCTGTGCATACAATACGAAGAATGAACGTTCTGAATAAAGTTTTTATGGAACATATTACAGATATCATGTCTACTGGAGAGATAGAACCTGAAATTCTAAATAGAAATATAGAAATTTCTCATATAAGAATAACTCCAGATTTTAAACTTATTAATGTATATTGGATAGACAATAATTTTAAGAAATTTGAAAAATCTGACACAGAGGAACTGTTAGAAAAATGTGCCTTCCGATTAAGACATGAACTGACCCAACTTCATGTTATAGGTGTGGTACCTCCTATTCAATTTGTCAAGCATAAAGGTACACATTTATTAAAAGAAGTAGAAGAAAAATTGAAGATTCTAGACTTCGGGGAAGAACATACATCTAGTCCATATTCAAATTACATACATCACACTGTTACCTCTTTCGGTATTAATGAAGGCATATCTAATAGTAAAGAGGACAATTTTAGTGTAAACATACCAATAATGAAACATAATGTATTTGGATTAGATCATTTTAAAATTATGTCAAAGGTATATCACGTACATAGATGAAATTTGAAATTAATAATGTATTATTTAGAAATATCTTTTTACAGATTAAAGCTTCATTAAATAAATCAAAGAAAATTCTGAAGAAAGAAACAAAGGAATCACTTTCTGAATCAAATGTTAAAGATATTCAGAATTTGTTTGCTGATAATAAGCAACAGAAACTATTTGCACAGTTTTTGAAACAAAGGAGAAAAGAACAAAAAAGAAACATCAAGAATAGACATAAAGTAGATGATCATATTTATAATTATGCAGATGAAAATAATGATCATGATAACATTGAAACTAATGAAAATGATTTTATTGATACTGATTATAATGATTTTAATGATTATGAAGAATTTGGTAGAAAATAGTAATAGAAAATTAACTGCACATGAAATTTAGACATAAATAGAAATAAAAAAAAATTAATATCAATAACATTTATTTCCACAGTTAATTTTATTTTATACATCTGTATATAATGTATAATTCAACTTCCCTTTGTTAAATTTATAATATAATTTATATGCAATATTCATCCAAATTATTGATCCCATTGATTAATTTCATTTTGATGTATGTTATGCTTGTTATTAATCACAAACACTTAAATATTTTTATATATTGAACTATTATTCTTTCTCTTAATTTTTATTAAAATATCCGTAGCTACAATCGTGGAAAGAAATTGAAACTTATAAAAAAAATTCAACATTTCAACATTTAGCTAATGTGTTAAAACATGGATGATAGATTAATAAACTTAAACTAAAAATTGCGTACTCTCTTTGAAATAATTCAAGAAATTATAAATTACAGAATTAACACAGTGCAACATAAATTAGAAATTAAATTGTACAATGGCATTAATCAACATATGATTGTTGTTTCATATGTTGTAATACATGTATACCTAATCTAAATCATACAAATCATGCAGTTCATTCAACTGCACATAAGGTCAAAAGAATACGATTTAACAATAAAATTTTGCACTAAATTTCAACTAGATTGTGTTTGTGGAGTATTTGGTTCCTTTTCTGGCATTGTTTTAATATCAACGTCCTTATTTCCTAAAAGAAGTGATATTTGTTGCTCGTTTACGGACTTAATGTTTGAACGAATATCTGACACTGTTAAATGGGGTATCGAATCACTTAGATTACATGCTTCTAATACATATTTATTGAAAATTTCACTTTTATCAGCATAAACATGATGCCCTGCTCCATTTATGGCCTATAATCAATGGAAATATATAATTGCAATAAATTAAAATCTTCTTAAAATAGTTCTTTGCTCTTAATTCTCTGTTTTTATTTTTACCTGAACATTAATATATGATGATATCCTGGTGTGTTTAATTGTTTCCCAAGATGAATTGTCAATCCAAGATCGACTACCATACAAGAGAGTTATTGGAATTTCTGGGTTTAGTTTATCCATTCTTCTAACAATAGGATTTTTTGCCCAACCAAAATGTTGCATCATTGCATGGAATGCACTTTCCCCACTTTTCATTAAACATGATAAAATTAAGCTTTGGCATTACATATTTAGCAATTCAAATGAAATATTTTTTAACTTGAATTCAAAATCTAATACTTTAGCTTTTGAAATCAAATAATTTTATTTTGTTTAAAAATTTTAAATACGTACGATGGTGTTTGAGCATTACACTGATGTAAGTATTGTGAAATTACAACAGTATCATCTTTTAATACAGGTGCAAATTTTTTTACTATATCTGGCCTTGCTTTTTCAATTAACCACCGCCCTAAAAAAATAAATAGTTTATATATTGATAATATAAAATCTCTTATTAGAAACATTAACACCAAAAAATATACTGTGGTAAAAACTAACCAAATGGACCAGCTGCTCTGACTGGCCATAATGGATTTAATGGTTCCACCATATATGATATGACTTTTACCCACGTAGGACCCCATGGAGTTCGTTCTACAGGTCCTTCAGAGAAACCCCAAGGATCAGCAAGAATTAGATGTTTAATTCTTTCAGGATATTTCATGCTATATGATGCTGCAAGAAAGCCACCCATTGAATGACCTAACAAAACAAATTTTTCTAACTGCATTTCTCTTCTCCATTCTTCAATAGAACGAACTAGTTGACTTTCTGCTTCTTGTGCTTCGTTACTAAAAATAGGACGACTACTTCTACCAAAACCTAGAAGAGAATTATATATTTCAGATAAAATACAAAATAGATACAAATACAATATTATTTGACATATACCATTATTTAAAAAATAAATTCAAAAGCAATCTATGATTATGTGATAAAAAAGATATCAATCTCATAAGTTGAATGAAAAGTATTGTAATAATAAATTATGACCATTTAAAAAATATACAACATCGCTTGTTTCACAAATTGTATATGATTCCAAAGGTCAATCTTAGTCATCTATGAGTCATCCATGATAAATGTACTCAAGAACAAAGTATATCTCTAGATAACTTACTTTTTGTATTTTAATATTACTGAATAAAATAATAAATTGAAACCTGCATCCTATTATTTCAAAATTTTGAGTAAATAATAAATAATTATAATTTCTCTTTATTTTTACCTAGTATATCAATAGCGTACACTGGCCTCTGAGAAGCTAATGCATCAAGATTTAAACACCATAATGCTACACCTGCCCCTAAACCATGTAACAAGACAAGTGGTGTTTTTGATGATTCTTCATTTAAGGAAATAGTCCATATTTTATCCGATGTTCCTACAACTGGTCCTATATCCACATACCATCCTCGATATGCAGTTTTCAAACCTACAGCATCAAGATATAATAGCTTAAGTCATATAATCAACATTCTATCTGAGATTACATTCTTTACACTAAATAAAATATTAGTGAATTTATAGTTTATTCTTAAATTATAAGCTTACTTTACTTTGTAATCATGGGCCCCATTGTTTACAAAATATGTTTAATAAGAAACAAAGAAGTAACTTACAAGAAAGTATTCTTTTTTCTGCAGCACGCAACATAGTTGAAGATGAACCAGACCAGCTAAACCATTCCCACAACCAGCTAATGAATAAAAAAAATTATTTTTCAAAAATGTTGGATAAATAAATAATAAATTATTAATATTACTTAATATTATATTATGTTACATACTGATAAAATTACGTTTTTATAACAATAATTTTTACACAAGCGTAAGATTAATTACTAGTTACATGCATAATTTTAATAATTTTTTAATTCATTAACATACCATTGATCTTAACATTGTCACTTTATTATATTTTTTAATACTGTTATAATGTAGTTTTATAAATGTGATATTATGATTTAGATGATACTAAATTAAAAAAATTATCTCACATTGTATAATAACCCTGATAAGTATGATAAATATAAAATATATGTATAATAAATTTTGAAAACTTTAATGCGTAAATTGAAAAAGAAATTACCTACGTATTTGTACGTAAAATAAATTCGAAATTGAATTAACTACGTATTTCTTTGGTTATGATTCTTCATACTAAAATTGTTTAGCGCGTGACCTTGAAATGCAATCCAACGTGACACAGTTAATTCTTTGACTTCCATAATCATTTTTCTTTTATATGTGTATGTAGCATTTCAAAATACTTCTACATGTATGGTATCTATAATATAAATCTATTAATTACAATGATAATTTGTATTGCAACAGTGAAACGTCGAGACATTTTAACTTAAATCTTGATTGCGGAAGATTCTACAATCAAAATGACGTATGTATATTTAGAAAATGATTGTACACTATTGATATTATATATTAAGTTGTTGAAACCGATAAAAAGTCAATGAAAATTGTAAATTAAAAATAATATGAGAGACAGTTATAAGGAAAAATACATTTAAATTTCATACGTACCTTTTCGATCTGACAATTTCATAATCTGCCATTAGCTTCTACGACGTTCCGGCTGTTCGTTTACAATGATTTCTTTGTTGACAATGTGGAACAACTATGCCGACGTAGTCAATTCTATTATCTAATTGCTGTCGATTCGAGCACACTTTACGTTGAAAAATGGAAGGGTGGGAGTATCAGCTGATGTACAGATGTATATGTTGGAGAACTCGTGGAGTTTCTCTTTTGTGAAATACAAAATATGTGTTTTGTTATTTATTATTATATGGATATGTTTGTTAAAGTAGACAGTAGTTATATTCTATCAATGTATATTTTTTGACGGTTATGTTACATAATTATGGCTAAATTGTGATGATACAAAGGGTGTTGTATTTAACAATAGTAACATAACCTAGAACTTGTATGATACCAATATTTACATATATGTATATTGATGTATATATATCATAAATCTTTTTAAAAAAACAGAATTATTATTAAGTAACATATGTATCATTCTAATATATTTCAAATTATTTGTTACTCTGTACATTAAGGAAATTTACGGAAATTTAATTGAATATTTAAAAAAATTTTAATATAGAATATTATATTTATATTACTTACAGTTGAGTACACCTTTCCTTTATATATGTGGTCTTATCTTTAAATTCTGATGTATGAATCAACGTAAAAGTTGTAAATGACAAACTATATTGAGAATGAAAAAATCGATTTTACATTAAAGATTATAAGTAATTAAATATAAAATACAATCTGTGATTTATTGTTATCGAAGAATTTATCGAATTAGAAGTTTTTATATAATATATTAATAGTAATAGGAAAATCTGGTTACATCGATTATACAATTAAAAATATATAAAAATATTTAAATTGATTCTATTTTTATTTATAACTAGTAGTTTAAAATATTTTGAAATTTCGATAATTAAATTGTTCACATGATTAACGCTGAGCTTTATAGTCTCATGAAGTAAATGAAACTAATACTCTATCTTTATAACACACAACAAAGTATAAGCGTAGTACAATGAAGAATACCAGACAAGGCATTTTATAATGATCAGAGAGCCTCTATACACAGGCTCTGGGTGCTTTTGGCTCTCCCGACAATATGAGCTATTCATCCCAATCAGCACATCCTCATTGCACTCATGCATGATTCTCATTACTTGGTCCAATTGTTTCGGGAATTCAAAGTTGTACGATAGTTGATGAATCGTTTTTACAGTCCTATATTTACATTATATTCTTAGCAATTATAGCTGATGAAAATATAGTAAAAGGAGGTTAACGAAATTAAATAGTAAAAACTTATAATTAAAAAAAAGAATTGTTCTATTAAAAAAATATGTCAATTTATACTGTATAATGAAAAAAAATAATACTTGTAAGAGAAAAATAATAAGTATGAGGGAAAAAGAAGGGAACTGTAAGACGTTCAATACTACCGGAGGTGGAGATCGATAACTAACTCAACTGTAGTTCATTATAAACATTTTTTTTATTTATTTTTTATAAGAGATACAATATAGAAATATAATATCATTCCAGGAAGAGTATTGAATGTTTATTAATTGTATAAAAAAATTTTTAAAAGTTTAATTAAAAGTTGTTATTCTCACGTAATATCTTTATTCCTTAAGAAACGATGGCTTCATCGTTATTATTTTGTTAAATACATTAGCGAAAATAAGTAATAAGCATAAGAAAGAATGCAAACATGTATATTTTGAAAGCATTCAAAGAAAAGCAGGATGTGACGGTGTCTATATGTATATTCGATCTGACGCATAGCGTGCGTGGCGTAAGGATACAAGTGCAATTCGGGCGTCGTCTGCTGGCACTACTTTCTTGTCTGCCAGTCAGAGAGGAGGATCTCGAATGAAACGGGTAATTTCAGTTCCTATAAGATTGCACGTTGCATTGAATTGCTATTTCATTAACGCTAAATAAATTATGCTAATTTTAGTTCATAAATAATTCATCTGTACATATTTTTAATAATAAATTCTCATATATTTTTGAGAAACTCTTCTTAAATACCTTATAACAAATTTTTATGTAGATTACAGTTTTTAACAATCTTTAATTTTCAAATTTTTTTATATTAATTCTGACCAATCATAATTACAAGTAATAAAGTAAAAAATTAATATTCTTTTCTTTATTGCGTTAGAACACGAAATAGATTTTTTTTTACTTTACGTAAAACAATAAAACATTCTTTAAACTTAATTGATAATTTACAAATACAATTCAAAGCTTGTTTTCAAATATCGTGAGTATAGGTATATTGGTCATCTTTTATTGTTCTTCAACGACGCAATTAGCTATTTACGTGAAAGAAACCACTTTTCTTCGACTCATCTGCATTAGTGATTCATGATACAAAGGCGTATCCTTCAAACTTTATGCTCTTCTGTTGCATTAAATTAATTTCCATGCGCATCTCTTTTTGACATTTCAGTTACTCTTTTTATTAGAAAAATTTTTATTTGATCTTAAATATATTACAAGTTCATATTTGCATAATTCTATTTTTAATAAAAAGTACCAATTGTTTGCACAATTGAACTACATAGTACACGATTTTATCAATTTTTGTTAGCCCATGTTTTACATTCACGTTTACACATTCATTGATCTTAATTATCGATATCTCTTGAAGCAAATGTTAAAAAAATGCGATTTAGAAAAAAAAAAAAAAAATGCAATGAATCAATAAAACAATTTCAAATGATCAATGAGTAGAAACAACATTATTTCTGTGTTTTATGATCAAGTATAAATGATTGTAAGTATAGTTATATAATATTTGATTTTGAAACAGATTTTGAGTATTTTTCAAAAGAAAAAACGCAAAATCAATGTTTGCCTAGAAAACAAAGCCATTTATCATTTAATCTACAAAAATCGCTTGTGTAACAATTTTGTCAGTTTTATTTTATCGATTTTGTTAATTTTATGGATCAATTTTGTAGACTTACTATTATCTCTTTATTTTCTACGAAGCACAATGTTCACCTTGTGGGTAACGTTAAAAGAATGCATACGAGCATCGAATGGATGGATCGATCGACGAAAATCGTAGTCGAAGATGCGTGAGTTAATGTAAATTTACCAGAGGGGGAACTACTTTTTAATCGCGAACACCAATGTTCCACGACTCACGGCACCTGTCGTACTATGTGCAATGTAGTTTAACGTAGTGGTGGACGGTGGGACACCAAGAAGTGCTCCAATTGGTCGGTTGAAAGGGGCGCGCGGTTGCTAAGCAACGGCAACACCGCGCGCGTCACCGGCCGGCGTAGCCGGCACCAAACGTTCCTGCCACTGTGGTGGAAAATTGCGCAGAACTACGTTGGCTCTCGTCGGGTGTAAACGTTCTGCGGTCTTGAATACGTGATAGGGATAAACTCATCAACGCTTTTCTTCTTTCTTCTACCTCTTTTTCCATCGTTGAACTCAGAAGCGAAAGAACCCTTTGTGGTATTCTATCTTTTAAAACTTGCGCGCTTACAGCGAAAACGAAGAAATATTCTATTGGAGTAATAGAGCTGTTCTTAAGTAAAGCGAAAGAAATCGAAAGGAAAAATGGCAGAGGACAAGAACGAGACCAGCCCAAACGCCGAGGGTGAAAAGCCACCACAGGAAGCAGCGCCGTCGAAGCAAGAGAAAGAAGAGCCAAAGGAAAGTAAAGAAGAAGAGAAGAAAGTGGAGGAGAATGGCGACGGTGATAATAAACCCAAGGAGAACGGCGAGGAGAAACCCACGCCAGAGCCGAAGGACATGCGGGCTATAGTACTGAATGGTTTCGGCGGACTAAAAAGTGTCAAGGCTTTAAGGAAGCCTGAGCCCACCCTTGCCGAAGGAGAGGTTCTTATTAGAGTCAAAGCATGGTGAGTAACTTTGTAATTTATGTGCATGTACTTTTACATCGTTATATTTATTTCCAATTGATCACGGTCGGTTGATCTGACAATTTTATGATTAAACACGGATATAAAAGAACATAAGATGTGTATGTAAATCAAGGCAACTCGATTCATCCATTAATTAATTAGTAGTCATATCACGGATTTTTTTTAGTTTATTGATATCATTAGAATCATCGAAGGTAGAGGAAGCTAATTAAGATTGATGTGACGTTAATGGAATCAAGCGACATTTTGATAGCGTCTCTTATCCTGTTTGAATATAAAGCAGTTGAAGGGTGCTAAATATGGTTAGTTTTTAAACATGCGTAGAATATCATTTATTTTTTTTTGTTTTATGATGATTATTAACATTAATTGAATTTTACGGTTATATCGATTTAGTTTTCGAACATATGGCTAAGTTTTAACCGACGCGATACATTACGATAATTTATTATTCGTTTAAACGAAGGTGAATTGCTGAGAAGGAAACAAAATAGAAAATATATCGAGGTTTCGATTCGAGGAGAGAGACCGTTACGATACCACTGCATCTTTGAAATTTAAGGCGTGGTATGTGTTCTCCGAGACGTTGGTAATTAGAATTTCATTGCTACGTTACGGAGCAGGATCAGTAATTTTATAACGGATGTGGAGGAATTTTAATAAAAACATTTAATAATCCGGCGTGAATATACCTTCTACTAGTCTAGATTAAAACTTGTGTTTTGAACATTCCTTCATTGGAAGACAGAATTGGTTCGATATATAATTAGTTTCCAATACAATTTGTTTCTTATTTTAACTTTATCAGATTAATAATATTTTACCAATATTTTTAACGAATATATATATATATATATTTAACTAATTTTGAGAGAAAATTACTGCAATGTAGAGAGATTATTGCTACTTTCTCGTAATACGGTTTTTCCGTTTTATTCTTTTTATTTGAAGTACGTCCACAGTGAATTTTTTTAAAATTCCAAAAGAATATAGCGAAAACTACTATTATTATTACGAAAAGCTAATTTATTTTCGTTGAATTAATTTTTAATAAGACGGCAACGTAAAAAATTATTCGCTGTTGCCATGACATAAAAGTATTATCCGGCATTTGTTAAAACACCGTGCGATCTGCGCATTAAATAAGCGACTACATTTATAGAATACTTATTCATGTGTTTAACGTTCCTGCATGCCTTGCAGATACGCAAAACGGAGTTTGATAAGCCGTTCAACTGCGTCCAGCTTATTGTTAAGTGTCAGTGGATATAGTTTGGTCTCGTCCATCTATCTTTAACGTACATTACGAACTTCGATCGTGTCGCTATACGCACGCGCACATACGCACGCATCGTACATACCCACATTTTGATATACGTATATGTACGTGTGAAAGTTAATTGAATAGAATTAAAATGTTATGATTATGGATATATATTACATCGGAAGTTGCTAGGCTTTAGTAAACCGCGTCTGGTAACTCTACGTACGATGCATTGATTCAGTCGTGGGAAAAAGGATTATTAGATGGGCAAGCGTGTCGTTAATGTACGTACCTTTAATGATAATAGGGAATAGCTTAGTCCATGCTATACATTTAAACGCTATATGCTACATATTCACACAGGTGAATTGCAACGCGAAATTAAAAATTTTAATGAATTTAGATATTAAATCACTTTTTATAATAAATATTTCACTTTCTTTTACTTTTTCCTTACGTCCGTTTTTTGTGCTCTTTATAACTGTACTTACTCGAACGCAGTGTTACGAGTGGCATATAGATAATTTGCAAGCGATAAACCACTGCTATCTTTCGCACCTTATAATTTATGTAGCAAAATATTCGCCTTTTTCTACGGTTATGAAAAGAAGAAAACAAATATTTTACACCGGTAGACTGAATAAATTTCTTTATATTTTTTACAAGATTTCTATTTTCTCCTGTTTTCTTAATTACGTAAAATATGGATTCCGTTTGCGGAACTTCATTTTTAGAAAGCATATACGTTCGTGAAATTTGCGTTGCCACTTGCGTAGTACTCTCGCCGACGGTGGCGTTACTGAGGCACAAAAAGTTCGTTGAACACATGTACCGTGAATCCTACCGTTTTCACGGGTAACGATCTCTTTAAAGTATTTATTATTGTTCCGCTCTAGATAAAGTCTTATTCTTATCGTCGATAAAGTAAATCTCCCTCAAAGAGGCCTGTAATCGATATTTGACTTAAAACATGTTTACTCAAACAGTTCAAACGTCGTTGCTGTTATTAGCAATTGTTTTTCATTCTCGTGGAACGGTTTCTTTATCGATAAGTCTAAGTTCTGAGAAAAACATTCGCTTCCACTGTCTTCATTTTTAACATTTTCGACGCGCTTAACTACATTTAACAACCCGGCTTTTCCGATATGAAACAACATCGATAATGCTTTTACCTCATATGGTAATAAATTGAACGGTATCCATCGATGCTAAACTTCGAAACTCGCTATTGGGAACCGTTAAGGTTATTTTTCTAGAATTTCGGACGAAAAAAAAAGTGGTCATAGATATATACGGCTCTTTTTCCTATTTACAGACAGATCTAGTCCTTTTTCCCTTTCGAGGTGACTGTAGCATATAGTATGTCAGAAAAAGAGTAGGCTAGAGGAGGACAGAGAATAGGTTAGACAAGGACAGAATACTAGGGGGAGAATTGGATTCGCCAAAGGCGTGCGGACCTTTTCACGCGTGAGTCACGTTTCATAAAAGCGATTGGGATTGATGAGAAAATAGCCCCCATAGAAAGATATCACGCTGCCAATGCTGGCTCGAATGAATTTGTCTGCACGACTACAGACGTTCGTTATATGCTACTACTGGCACCCCTGCTTGTGCGCGCGACGCGCTTAGAGAAGAGTGTCTCGTTCGGAATCGCTGGGAGAGAGATCCGGAGCACTCTAGATAATTCGATTGTCCTTAAAGGTCTTTAGAATTCTCAGGATTCTTCAATGTTCTTCGCGATTAAATACATGTCTTTTCGTAAAGAAATATGGAGAATTTTGCAATGATAGATTTACAGTTTTTTTCGAGGAAACACAAGTATCTAGTGGTATAATATAAATTTGGGAATATATAACTTTGATTACGAATCGATAAATTTTACGATATTGAAAGGTTTTTGCGTTTGCATTATTAAAGGTGGATCTTTTCGTGGATATATAATAGTTTGTCAAAAATTACGTAAAACGGAGAAGAAAGGTGAAGGGAATTTAAAAGGGGGTAAAATTAGAAGCGTTTGAACGTCAGGTTGGCATGCCTGTGCGGAGAAACGTCTCGCCACTCACGTGTAGACATTGGTGATTGAGACTCTCGACAATTCAGCTCTCATTTGAAAATTTCCAATCTCCGCAAGCGTCAATGATCAATTAGATGCCAACAGACCAGCCGGAAGAGTTGAAACGGTATATTTGTTGCAACGTAATGAGTGTTTATTACGCATAGTAAGTATTCGAAGAAACAATTCGTAAAGTACTGGTATTACAGGGTACGTTATCCTGTGATAATAGTTACAATAGTTAGTAACACGTTCTAAGCTGTTCACGTAGACTTTAAGTATCTTACGTTGATACTTGTATTTAATAGAATTTGTTTTTTTTTTCTTTTTATTTGACAAAAGAAAATTCCTAAAACATATAGAAAAACAGATTAGAAATGGAGTATATTGGTAATATTATTATATAAAAATGATATATTGTATGATGATATGATATATGATTATATAAAATAATCATATTAATATTCTTTATATATTGTAGATAATACATGGAATAGAGTAAATAGGAAAAATGGTTGAATGCAGTATAATGAAGTTGGGGATGAATCATGATCCGAATTTTCTATTTTATTTCAAGTTTCTCTATATGTTATCAAAGAATGTTCTTTATAACGCAAAGCAGTACTGCTTTATAAGTGGTTCATTAGATGCGGGAAGAGTAAAAACAAGACAGGGTACCCTTCTCGAAAGAAAATGAACATTTTACTTTTTCCCACTTCGTTTTTTCTCTTCTTTTTATTTCCTTAAATTAGAAAAAATGTGAGTGCATTAAAATTACAAATATGGATTGATCACCAATGTGGGCTAGAATTATTTGAAAGATAAATTTATAAAACCATCAAAGAGGATCGACTTGGGCGAGATTCTCAGAAATCGACTCGATAAATTTTACGATCGCCCTTTGTGTAAATCGTACACTGTGAAAAAGTATACATGTAAGCTTGTCAGTAGATAAAAGGCTATAAACCATGAGAAATTACGGTATAGGTATCATTTAAAGATATGAATTACCACCATAATGTCGAGGGATGACCGATTGGCAGTTTATCAGATTTATAGTAAGTTCACCGTATTATATGAACTACTTCAATTTTTATGGTGACATTTCAAACCTAATAATTTTTGTTTAATTCCTTTCTTTTATAGCATAACATTCGTATAAAATAGTGTTCTGTTGTACAGAAAATTTCTAAAAAGTTGTCCTAAAGAATATCTTTCCTAAAAATTTACCTTTCTAGATGCCATTCTCATAAATGTATGGTCTGTAACAAAGAATCCTCATCCTCATACATGGAAGTGCAGGTCAAGATATACTATTTAGAGCTGTAAAGAATAACTGTAAAAAGCATCTAAGTTCCTTGAGGAAGCTTTAATTTTAAAATTAATTATTTTACACAGATGTGATTTAAAATAATTTTCAAGCATTTTATATAATGATTTTACAAATGTTGTAAATATTTTAATTCGTAATATGTAATTTGTAATGGTAGTTTTGTTTCGAAAGTTCTATTATTCAAATAAGCATTTCACCTAAGCTATCTATTTCCTGGAGTTTGTGTTTCCAGGAATCAATAATGCAGCAAAAGAAACTTTCGTCGACTTTTATGTTTTTTCTTTTTTTTTACTCCATTGCGTTTTCTAAGTATCACTCTTCCAAGTTTCTCTTCGTTGTGAATCGCAATAAAAACGGATTTTACCAATTGAGTGCTAGTATTGCGCCGTATTATACTAGCGAAAGTTACAGTAATTCAGTTGAAACACTGATAAGGTTCATTTTTTCGCGTGCGTAGGTTTTTACTGTTTCAATTTTTGGTACTTGTATTTTTTATACTTCGTACCGAAGTTTTTTCTACGAGATTTAAAACATTTTTATTTTTCGTGTCGTATCTATAATTTTGAAACAATTAATTCTCAGATAAATGAATTTTTTAAATTTTGGATTGAAAAGCTCCACTTAGAAAAAAAAAATTTGGAGGTTAAAACGTTTAAAAACATGTCAGATGATTGAAGAAATTGGAATATATCATATTATATGCTAAATAGTAGTTTTATAAACGATCTATGTTTTTCTATTACATATCAAGTTATTGTTATTTCTTATAAGCTCCCCTTTGTCCATTATATTATTCATATTTCCAATCACGCTTCTTATTGCGACCTAACCTCAACGTCATTTCCACGCCTATAAACCTTTTATTTCACATTACACGAAACACTCATCTTATAAGTAGAAAAAAGTGACAGAAAAAAAAGTAACCCTTCAATCATATATATAAAGAAAATATCTCAGTATCTTACATTATACGTGGAATCACGAACAGCAAATAACATCGTAAATTTTATTAGAATAGCGCGCGAGGAATACAAACTGATATCGTTCCACACGAAACTTTTTCTCGCTTTCATCCATGCTATTTCTCAGCTGAAAACATTAGCGCGTAGAGGCACGTTTCTCGAGGCTTGCACGCGTGGAACATTGTCAGACAGTGAATTAGTATAACGCGATAATTCATCCGCGTGCTTTTCTAAGATGCAATTTTCCACGGTGTGGTCGTGCGTGTGCATACCATGTTCCTACCAGGTTATGTGTCACAAGTGAAGCATATGATTTAGACAACGCGATCTCTATGATTCTCGATCGCGCTACACATATGTTTATAACGGGCAACCGTGTGACACGATTAAATCCCAGATGGCGCTTTCGTCGATACATATTTTATAGATTAATACTGTCATTCTTTTCTTTTCTTTTCTTAGAAATATTAAGAATTTTCGATAACACGGAAGAAGGGAATACTTAGGAAAAAGAAATAATTAGGAAACGTCAAATAGCATCGAAATAACGATTTTGAGGTTAGGTTCTTTGGATCTTTCTAAATTAAGAATTTAAAAGTTGTAACATTTATTCCAATTTTTAGTGGACGTAGATGGAGATCGTAGACACTGAATAGATCAGTTTCCTTGAGAAAAACACAGGAATGCGGAGAAAGTAAGTTTAGATGATATTGATAAATTTTTAAGATAAGTTTTACGAATAGAAAGAGAAGCTTCCCACTCGTAATATCGATAGCAATGTTAACTATGTTTCTTTGTAGTATACAGTGGTAATGATTACCTGAATATAATTGAGAATATCGTTTTTCGAAAGAAGAAGCGATTTGAAGAATCGATTACCCCAGGACGAGTCCAGCAACGGTTCATGAGTTCTCTTGCGACGAACTTTAAACAATAGGTTTATATACGGGGAAACTACACGCTCTAATCCGCTTATTGTAATCCGTTCGTGAGAGCGGGCAAGCGCGATTTCAAACTGATTTACCGGGCGTACTAGTTTCGGATCGATTTCTTCTACGATGGTTTGTCGGGTCCGCTGCTTCGTGTGAATGTTAATTAGACAGTGAAACTATCAAATAATTAATATTCCAATCGTTAAACTGTCCTAACGAATAAATACTAATGATTAAAAAGAGGTAACAACAAGTATGAAACGAAGCATAAAAGTATAGGTAGATATGGAATGTTTTATTATTATATTTATTTATGTAATTAATTAAGAGGAATGTAAATATTCATGACAAAAGGAGTTCGATGACTATGTTCATAGTTAAAAAGAAAGTAGGATGTAGGATAAATGACAATGACCTAAAATTATGGGCCACTATATATTTTTTGCGCGAATAAACAGCTGTAAATCCAATATTTGCCGATCTAATATTTGGATACCAGTTGAGTAAACGCTACTCGACCTTCCCAATTCCGGCTCTTTGCTCTATCTCCACAATTTCTCTTGTCGCTATCTTCAGTTGCTAGGAAAGTACGTTGAGAGGTTTAGTAATTGGAAAAGCTCCTTGTCGCTTTTGTGCAATAAGCTTCTATAATATCGAACAGAATGTAAGGAAAGTACGAGAGAATTTTTAGATACGTGTCTTTAAAAACTATTTATTTTTGTTCACAGAACAAATTCATATACATCATATGCAACTATGTAAAATCGTGCAAGAGATTTATGCTAATGTAAACTTGCTTTTAATTCGTTCAACTATTTAGGAACACTCAATTTCGTTGTTCAAAGGAAACATTCAACTTGCCGCAGACATAATTCACTTTACATCGTACAATACGCAAAACAAAACGCAGACCGGATTACACGATGGTAGATTGTCGGAAATATATTCGGTATTTATGCACCAAGTTTACCACGCAACCTTTCAACGTGCTTAATGAAAGGCGCCATTATATCTGACTAGCTGGGTTTATCACATTAACGAGGTCTTAATATCGGGGCTATGGGAAACTGAACGGATACCATTCAACAGTCGATATACCGTAATCTCTTCTCCGTGCAAGCCTCATTTCCAAGGGATTTTACTGACGATTTTTCTGCACGAAACTCACACAAAAGCATCCTATGGGTTTCGGTGTAAAAATAACTCCGTCGAACATCTGTTCGTTATATTTATTCCTTTGTGATGAAATTGATAATTTTAAGAATACTATAAACAGCTTCAAAATCTGTGATTTACACCGGCTGTCATATAATTTTGCCTTAAAATTGTATATTTACTTTCTCTGTTCAACTTCCTTTGTTATAGCTCTGAAAAGTAGAGAAAATATTCTGACAGTAATCTTCCATGAATTAAATCTGAGGACCAAGTTTTTGACGTTAAAAAACACTGAAGTATATAAATGAAATTATAATTTTCGCAAGGGTACTAATTCGAACAATTCTTCTTTCTTTTTCTTGCATATAATGCACGTACTGGAGATATTGTCTATTTTGAAAATCGAAAATGTATAGTAGATGTGACTGCGTGAAGTTAAAAGTGGAATTTTAAACTCGAGTAACTTTTGTAGACAGTCACGATTTGAGGTGATTCACCTCAAACAAACGTATACCTGTGTGGGGTACGCACCGATGGATCCATGGGATGTTCGTATTGATCGAACCACACCCGTATTTTCTACATCCCCTCCCATACACACACACATAGACAGGCACATGCATACGGATGCATGCGCACAAAATTCATGAAACACCATGAACCCCCCACTACTATGATAGACGAACTCCACCCTACAAGCTGAACCTCGAAATCCAGCAGATTTTTCTTCATTCGAATATCTCTTTTCTTCTGTAACATTAAAATTCAGCTATACCTTTTGTCGTAAAAATATTAACTAGAATTAGCAAACAAGTTATAAAATGACTGGTTTGAAACTTTCTCTATTTTTAATTATTGCTAATTATAGATAGAGTAGGAAATAATTGTATATACATTTTTAACAATTATTTTTGTTAATTTTTATGCCACTTTAATTAACTACGTACTCTATATTTAAATAGACGTTGCAAATTGGTAGTCTAGTGTTGACAGATTGTTGCTTATTGTTATTCTTAAGTGGAAAAAATGTAGATTGACCTGGAAATTCGAAAAAGTACGTTACAATTTAAATTCACAAACGAATGTTTAACGGTAACTTAATAATAAAAGAATATCAATATGTCTGAAACGTGAATTATTGCTAGACAATAAGTTACGTTATTTCAAGTGTCATGTTAGTAGATTGTTTTTTCCTCTATCAATAGTTCCTTTGGGCAGGATTTGCATTTCATGGAATAACTCCCTAGCAATTACACTAGAATCGATCGATAATAAATTCGTGGAATGATCGCGCTTCTTAAAGGCTGTCAAGCACACAGTTGCTTCGAAAGTACGACGTAAAATGGTTTACAGTCGAATAGTAGCGACACTTCTGTTGACATTCCGCTATTGCCACTCGTGACTCACAAAAACAATAACAGCTCGCGTTTGGACCCGCAGCTGTTCTTACCGTTTCAATTCTTCGTGCCTACATCTGGTCGGTCATGTACCGGGTGTTCTAATAAATTAGGACCAATCTAAATAATAAAAATATTTCATCTGACTTTATTGCGTTTCTTCGTTTTTAACTTTTAAATAGGCGATGATAATCAGACGATAATCATGAAAATTAGTAATTTATTTTTATGCTATTTTTTCTTCGATTCTTTCTCTTTTAATATTCTTTATTTTGGTATTCAAATAATTATTTTTATTTCATTAAGGAACTGTTGAACGATTGGGTTCATTTTTGACATTACCTCGAATATTTCCCGCATCTATGATCACAGAAGAGTAAGCGTCCCGTGTAATTAGACATAATATACTGTGTTTATGGATGATTTATGCGGTGGGACATGATTCCTGCTTTTATCTTTGTCAGTAATCTTTCATAAGTGACAAACCATGTCCATTTGTTATGCGTTTGAAAATTCTTTTCGCATAATTTCTTGTCATATTGTACGTCAATACGTACAACATTTCCATCGAATATATGTCTCTTATAATACCTGTTACCATATGTTAACATATTTGCATTAATGTAATGTACATCTGCTTATAATTAAATTATTAAGATAAATAGCATATTTATGTTTCAAGGATAGCATATTAAATGTTTCATTTTTTATCTGTTCCTAATATAAACGAGAATTTTATTTGAAAATATAAACAATCTATTGATTAAGCAAGAAGAAACGTACGGTACGTTAAATCAGGCGAGTCCCTGAACCCAAAGCCGGATTTTTCGTTTCCTGGCGGACTGATCTAATCAATTAATCTATTCAGGACGTGATAAGTTCTTTTTTCGTGACGCTAATACTCGTAAATCTCGTCGAAATTGAAGACCAAGAAATGCATAGCAACCTAAGAAGAAATAAACATAAATATTAAAATAAATATATACTATTGACATAAATATATATAATACTTCGTGTAATGTATCAGTAAATACGTATTACATAAAATATTACATATAATAAGCAGTTATATAAATCACTAATATACAAATAATACAAGTATTCATAGGCGTATCATTTTACATCTAACGATTACACGGAGAAACGGAAGTGGCTTATCGAATTACTGCATTGGAATATTTGTGTTTGTCCATCGACTGCACTAATCAGTTAAGTTACTTAGATCTCAAAGACGTCCACGAATCGGTCGAACCAATAAAATCTGTTGATCTCATGTACGCATTTCGAAGAACTACTCATCAGTTGCAGAAGGTCACAGGAATGGTGGAAACGAAGAAGGAAACCTAGGGGAGTAAAATTTCGTGCCCTAACTTCCTGTGTCCTTTGGAAGAGGAGACATTTGGTGTTTAGAATGAAGGATCTATTTTCAGTTCTGTACCCAAGCTGCGCCTGGAAGCAAATTAACCTCCTCCCTCTTGTGGTCTGGCATAGTATACGCCACCAGTGATACAACGTTGTGGTACCCAATATAAATGTAGTAAAGCATGCAGAGGGGAGACGAACCATGCGAGGGTTTCAATTGTGGACAGGATTGATCTATTTGAAGGAATCGATGATTAAACAGGAACTAGAAATGAGGATTGATGGCTGAACCTCTGGCGGAATATTCGGATACCATGGTTACTACCCATAGAAATCGATCCTGAGGACATAAAAGGCAAAACTGTACTTTGGAAAAATACAAAAGATACGCATCGGTTGATACGCTTACTGTACGTTATTACATCGGTATTGGGATTATGGGTTTATAATCGTAAAATAACTAGGATACATATATTCCCTTTTAAAACCTTTCATTATTCAAGGAAGGTATATTTTTGAGTGCTTCTCAAGAGGGTACCTGACGCAGTTCGTTTAAACCCCCAAGACTTATCTAATGTTTATATAAACATTTTATAGATTATTTACATCTTATATCCTAGATTGATTTTTGTGTATAGCTAAACTTATCCTTTCAACAATCGGAATTTAAATTACGTTCAAATTCGAGTGTATTATGATGGTTTTCATGGTTCTCGTATTTTTACCATAGCTTCAATTTCCTTTGAAAATCTGGTACAAGCAATCACGAGTTTCGAACCTCCATCGAGGTCAATGGCTGCCGAATAGAAAAAGCTAGGAAAACCACACTGTACGAAGCAATTCATCTTAGTCAAGATTTACACGTACAAGAAAACATATATAACGGTCGCAACGAGGCTGATAAAAAGTAACAAAGAGCTCCTGTATCGATATTCCCGCCCCGTTTGAAAACAATTGATAACTCCTCGGTAACGGCGGGGTCATCTATCGTGCAAAATAATTATTGCTTGTATGTTTTCCATACTGCTTCTTTGCCTCGTGTTTTTCCATTCTTTCCGTACGCATATGTGACCTTCACGAAATCACCGTATCTCTTAACTTGGTTGAGTTTGAAAAATACCCATTCTTGTATAAGAGGATAATGCTTATCGCTTATTCGATTTTTTTAAATCAAATATCGCCAAAGCATAAATGACATGTCTCTTTAGATTAGTTAAAATGATAGTTAGAAATTCTGTTTATATAGTTTGAAATCCTGGAAGTTTCTGGAACAATAATTATAGCGTTGTGTTAAGCGTTGGTATATTGAATTCGCGATCGTTTCGTCGCAGTTTAAACGGTTGATACATTCGTTAAGAATAGTGCCTCAATCTGTGCTCAACACAGCACGAAAACAAAGAGTCGCGATTGGAGAGCGACTCGTAAACAAATCATCGGACGCCTCGTACGTCACGAAGTGTCTGATATACGCTTCACTTGGCTGGAGCTCGTCGTAGCCAGTTCCACAACTACGTACGTGTGTTCCACTCCTGAAATACGACCCTTTGTATTAATAATTGTACTACTTATGCGACGCCGTGCAAACCCCATTAAGCCAGGCGCACGCCACGCGACTAATAATATCTTATTCCAGATCAAATAGCGTGTTATTAGGAATTTACCACTTTCTCTCCACTCTGCACGTTAAATTTTACGTTACCGACGTTTTCTTCCACTTTTTTGATAGAATCAATACGACGGAATGAAGTTACAGCTTTGTGGAGTTATAGCCCTTTATTCGGGACTATGCCGTAAGGATTGCCGCCATATTTCTTGCAGACACTTTAGGAAATTCTATGAAAGTCTTATGGATGATAATTGGTGGTAATGCGATTCTACTTAGAAGCATAATAACTGTCACGGGTTAACGTCGTCCTGACCACAAGTCCCACGATTATAACTGAAAATAGAAAAACATTAAGGTTAATTTTAATTTAATAAAAAGTATTAAAAATTTCTTGTCTTCGATAAAATAATTAGTCGACTTGCTATTGTCTTCTATAACTACAAATCCAATAATAAATAAATAAATGTTAGTGTAATAAGAAATATCGATAACGAAGGTCATCACAAACCTTGATAAATAATTAATTTATTCCAATTATCTGTCATAGTAATAATTCGGAATATGTAAGAAATTTAACTATATTATTAACCAATATAGTGTCATTAGTATCATATCGATGCTTAATCACCAATTGCCGATAACATTATTACTCCTGGCCTCAGTTCCCGGCAATCATTTCGAGTAGCATAAAAAAAGTACACAGGACGACCGTATTTATTTATAGCAGATGCAAACGCATGACGAGATAAACGGTGTACGTCTCTTCGGTTGGGAAGATAAATGGCGTTCGTCGGAAAGAAATTAGATGGCGGAAAGGGTACGTCGAATCGATTCGAATACGGTGTTTTAATTCCTATCGGGTGCCACGATGTCGCCTGCTTCCGTGAAAATCGACGTGCAACGCATTTTTCTCTAACTTAACCTAAACCGATACGCAGGAATTGCGGTATTCAACATACGTCGCCAGACAACCGGGCTGCACTTTCGCCGCGGGCTCAATCAACGCCACCTTGATATATATATCGAGTCACGCGAGATTCGTGCATGCGATTTCGCCTGGAGGTTATGGTTTCGCAGGCGCCCGATGTCTTCTCTGCCGATCGATCGAACGGCTGCTACCCACCTCCCGCAGGTACACCTATCCGACTGCCATCTATCACGTAACAACGCGTAATAGCGATTGAAATAGCGGGGTGATACTGTTCTCAAACGATATCTAGTCATGTTTTTTTTCTTTTCACGCGTACGGTCTATTTTTAATATACAAGTTCTCGTCGCTACATACTTAACTCTCTTATATCCAACGTTGTATTCTTTTTCATATCTTCCTTTTTTACGCTTGTCCCTTGACGCACACTTACGCGTGCTTCCTCCCGGTTCACTGCGCTCTCTCACGCTCCGGTTTGCAGAGGATCGGAGCATTTAAAACAATTGCTCGAAATTTGATTTGAATTCCTAATTATTTTGTCAGAATTCCTGTTAAAAGTTCGATAATATTATTAATTAATAAAAGCAATTTGGAATTCAATTAATCAAAGGCAATTTGTGAACTTTTATGATGTACTTAATTTTCATGATTCAGTATCGTATTTTAAATTACCAGGATAATCGTACAACGAAATTTTTAAATTATTTTTAAAAAGTTCATATGTAGGTGAATGTAGTTGGACGCGAATCATTGAAATAAACAAATGGGACATCGGTTTCTTCAAGTACTCGCAGAACACCATTCTTTCTCTCTTTCCAACTTTCTCTTCGTTTTTACATCCTCTTCCCTCTCCAACTTCTTTGTTCCATGTTTTTACTTCTTTTTACTTCCTCTCCGCTCCCTTTTTCGCTGTCTTACTCACTCTCGATCCCTTTCGCTTTCTCTACCCCTTCGTCCCAGTCTCTCTCCCCTAGTTCTCCGGCTATCTCCTTTTATTCACGCACATGGTGTGCGTGACCCTGGGGTGCGTTGTTGCATGTCGTCGTCCACGATGGTCGCTGTTCTTTCTCCCGTACAATTGGCCGGTGCCAAGAATGGAGAAAATTATTCCCCTCAATTCCATGCAATTTAAAGGAATTAAGCGATTGCGAACCGTGCCTCACGTAGCAGTCCCGTAACTCCTGGAACCTTTTCCCTTTTGCCCTTTGTTGGGAACTCGCTTCATACTTGATTCCAATAACAGAACAGAACAAATCCGTTTTGGGTGATTAGTGTATGTGATCTAGTAGTGTACGTGTAGCTCGTGCGATAGTGGAATTGACTATTAAGCTTCATAACCGACCATAATGAATCTGAGAATTTATATATTTTATATATATTTTTTTTTTACTAGAAATTTTTATTATCTATATATTATATCTTTGTTCGTTAGAAAACTTTTTCATAGTTCGAATACCTTAATCCGTGGATTCACTGAACTCGAGATGTACCAGTTAGAACGTGTAACAAAAATTCAGTATGTTCTTTTATTGTTTCAGCCAGTAGCTACGTTTATACTTTCAACACACTTGTTTGATTTAATGCTAAATTCGAGCTTCGGTTAAATTCTGGTATGCGATTTACGTTACGCTCTAGAAAGTACCTGTAATTATAAAAAAGGTAAAAAAAAGGAACGAATCCTTATTACGAAATGACGGGAAGAAATCATTCCGTTGCGAAATTTTATAATTTCAACGAAACCGTTTCACCGGTATATTCTAACCTCTTTAGTGTAATTCTTCCTTCATGCTTAAAAAGATATGTGTCAGAATATAGGTTATGTATCTCCACAGAAGTGCAAGCGAAATTCTATTGTTGAAATTAATTTTAAATTACGATTACGGGTACGTTGATTGTTCACTAAAATAAATTCATTTGCCAAATGTATGATGTAAGCATACTTCAAAGTTGAATCATTGAACGATTGAAAACAACGAGTGATAAATCATACCGAATGTAATAGCTGATTAAACATATTCCAGTGAATGAAAATGTTTGGTGTCACGCGATCGGCTTTGAATCACGTACAATTTATTCGGTTGCCGCTGATAATGACGGGACAAGACTCGCGTTACGCATGATTTCCATTGTGTCGAATTGAACAACACGTCCGCCACACATATGTACTTTTTTATCTTCGGTGGATATGATCTCAGCTTCTTTATCCATTTTCATATTGTTTCCCTTTATTAGCATTCCGATATCGAACAGCTACATTTAACTGAAAAATAAAAAGAAAGAGTTGATTCGTTTATGCGCGTTCTTTCCTCCCCCTTGCAACGTTTGTAGGTCCGCCATATTTGTTTCACTGGCGATAGAATATTTGTGTCCACGGTGTTCCTCTATCTATATGTTAGGTTAAGGATCAACTTGTATCGTTTCGTCGACACAGAAGCATCGGCGCAAATAAACGGAAAATATTCTATCTCTTGTGGTGTATCTATGTGTTCTTGTTGTAACAGGAATAATAAAAATCGAAGCGTGAAATACCAAATTATAATTCTTTTATCCTTTTTACTTTTACAAATGCATAAATTTTTAAAAATAGCATCAAATTAGAAGATTACTTCGTTGTAGAAATTATAAAGATGTTTCGATAAAAATAATGGAATTTTTAACTACGATTTGTTGAATAATTATTTAAAATCGTTAGTCGTAATATTAAATAAAATGTCGGACAGAATAATATAATTATTAAATGGAAATTTCGCAATCTGTGTTTTTAAATATTCTATGTTAAAAACAATGATAATTTTCTCGAGTCGTATCAACGTTGCGTGATATTTCTCGATTCGAATACACTCATCGTAGCGGTTATTCCCAGGAAATTATGTGACATACTAATTATCGATAAAGCTTCGTGATATATCTCGGAGCACGTTAAATCCGAACGATTTCAAAATAATTGTGTCGTAAAAAATTATTCCTAATCTTTGAATTGATTTTTCATTATCATAAAGCCAATTAGTAATAGCTATATAACATGTAGTCCAAGTCTGAGAAGTCTATTTGAAAAGGCCAAGAGATTAGAGAGAGCAAATCTTTAACATTAAATTGCCTCAATGGAATAATGATACATTTTACATGAACATTGAAAGTATACGTAAAATTTTGTGAAATATTTTATGAACGTTGTTTATATATTATTAGATAGAATTTGTAAATTATAACACTACGATAATGTTAATAAATAGTAAATAACGTTAGTAAGATAGAGTAAATAACAATTTTCTATTTAACTTTAGATTCCTGCAATATTAACTTCGCATAACATCACGAACGACAAGAAGCGAACCACAAAAGTGTACTGTTCACATACTTAAAATTTCTTTATCCCTCGGTGTATTTGTAGAGAACTGAGTAATCCCCCGCTGATAGGAGGGACAATTACATTATCCCATTTCCGTTCGAGACAACTGTACAGCAGACCTCCGGCACTTCCCACTTCTTCCCTTTCTGTATGTACCTCCTCCAATCTCTTTCTTCGCGTTACTAAGTGCCATTTCTAATTTTGGCTTTTTGCGAGGCCAAGGACAGCTGCGTCTGTCAGGTCAGTCTACCTGGAGGTAGCAACCATTTCAAATATTAACCTTAGGAAGAAGGAAATATTCCACTAGGATTATTTCGCTACAAAATTATATTTCGATGTTACCGTTAAAAAGTCTACTTGCCAAAGGTTCGGCTAAGAAGAATAATAAGAGTGAGAAGATTCGTATACGAATCCAGTCGGAGCAACCCAATTAAACGATTCTTTTTCCTTGGATATTCGTAGAGGTTAAAAATAGTAAATTAAGGGGGACAGATTTTTCTAGTTCCGGAGTTCCGGTGCATGATAGCGTTTCGAAGAAACGTGAGAGCCGCGCGTAAATGTACGCACGTGAGGTGAAATGCGTAGCTACTGTCCGTATGTGTTCCATACCATTAAGCCACGATCATACGGGTGTTCGAGCAAGATGAGACATACGTTATTTTATCTGACATTGTTGCGAGAGGGTTAGGTTAGATGCAGCTTGTCGAAAACACTAAAACGATAATTCACAAATACAGTTCATGTTAAAAATACAAGAATGAGATACTTGGTAAATATTAATCACCTATTCCGTTACAAACAGTGGAGCCTCGATGTAATGATCCGTTTATTCTAGTGGAGTTATTAAAGTACTCTATTATCTTTTTTGGCATGTGTCATTATTTTCAAGGTCTAGAATAACTTTAAATGATAATAATGTATTTACTATAACAATCTTTCGGTAACACAATCTTTGACAATAATAACCTTTTCGGTATGTTACATCATTATAATTGCAATCAGAGGTTATCGTTGGATAAATTATTTGATATAATAAAACGAAATATTATTAAATTATTCATCGAAACAAATAACTTGCCAATCGCGAGATCGCTAACACGTAAACATTCGTATCGATAGGTCGATGGACTCGTCGCGTTCGCCGCGCGATGTCGCTACCGTACCGACGTAAATTTGACAGACATAACCTATACGCCCTACTTATCCTTATTCGTTCTTACAGTTATAACCTCGTTTTTAAAAAAGCTGCACGCGATTTACTTCGACTTCACTATGTACATTCACGCTGTTATTGTTTATCTGAAGGCAAGTAAAGCGAGAAAATTTCTACATAGCTCTTTAAACTTCTGACGGATATTTCAGGCTAAGTAAATGGGAGTTCAACATTGGTGAAACAGTTTCAGCTGCAGACTCGAAGTCGAGCAACTTGGCTAATGTGGACGAGGCTTTAGAGTTCTAGAGGGGGCTGAAATAGAACATATCTGATGCATGTGTAGTCCACGCGACTGAGCCTCCGTTTCGCCTCGTATAAATACACGTGTGCCGTTACCTTCGAGTTTTCGTCAACCCCATGCGGCACTGCCGATATAGGGAGGGTAAATCGAGGCGCCACGACGCCTAGACCGACGCCTGGCGTCGCACGCAACGCACGACTGGTGCCTCTTTCGCGACGACCACGTCGGGGACCGTGAAACAACGCCGGCACACGCTTTATCAGAGCCTCCTATGGCACCGACGCCGCCTGTTCATGTTGCTTCCTGGAAAAGCGGCGCGAATACTACCCACGAATATTTTATCTGCATCGATTGCCGCCTTTCCAGTGTTATTACGTGAGAAGCGAACAGGCACGCACGGCAGAGTACTCGTTACTATGTAATGCGATGAGCCGTGCTCGATAGCATGGTATTTTCAGCAGTTACTATGCCTACGAGGTATAGTAGATGTAACGTTATGGCGATGGAACTGTTGTCTTTTCTTTAGGTTTAATAGTCGCGGTAATTAGTGGCAATACTGCATTATGAAACATCAAACATGAAGCTACAATGTAATAGTAAGTTATTTGAAGGCACCGCACCATTATAAATAATATAGTTGAAGCAAGAACCAAAGTCCATTGTAACACAGTATAATCTATATTATAGTATATAGTATAACAAAATATTATATAGGGTGTCCCAGCATGGGTAGTACAACCGAAAAGAAGTGATTCTACATGAAAAAGTCGAAAATCGAAAAAAGAATAGAATTTTTTGATTCGAAGCTTCGTTGTAGAGAAAATCGACTTTGAATATTCACCATACAACCTTCCGGAAACCTTGTGTATAATATTATAGTATACCATAGTATATTAATTATTAATATATTATCTTTGTAACAATTTCATTAATTGTGATAACCATTTATATTAAGTAAATGTGCTCATAATTATGAAGTGATCTATGTCACCAACCTGAAAGGAACGATTTTATTATTTATTTTGTGTTGCATTTATTTATATCGCAATAAAATAAATCAGTTTCCTACAAAACAGCAAAAAATTGAATCGTTGGATCGAGTTTGCAGCTTTACCGCGATTAATTTTATAATTTATAACGTATTTAAAACGCGAAGCTTTTAATACTTCAAAAGCAAAGATAAGTGACTTACGCCACTTTTATAGTCACCGGCACAAATAAATATATAAGTTATAATTTTCTTGAGATGGCGTACTGTATAATTTTGTAATAAAAACTGTAATAATTTTTATACGTAGTGATGCTATCCATGCTTTGAAAAATAACAGTATGTGTAAATCGTTAACAATGTGATACGAACGAATGAAGTTGAGTTATGTAAGTTATTTTTATTTCTCCTAGTTATTAAAAATAACTGACTGTGTTGAAAAAGATAAACATCAAATAATAAAGATAAAGTCAACTCACGTCCTTTTTTTGTTCCGATTATACCAACGATTTGTCGAAGAATTAAGAAATAATACATACATCACATGAGCAATTTGTTATCGATCGTATACTCCATTTATGTATAGAATTTGTTCGTTTAAGACTCTCATGACCGATAAAAATTTATCTTTTCGATAGGATATCAGCGTACGAGTGAAATAACAGATTTCCCTCTTCATATGCATATTTGTTAAATACTCTGTATATTCTTGATAATTTCCAGGCTTTATCTTCTATAATGATTTATTATTGTATTTATTATTTTATTATTGTGTACATACGGTCTTTGTTGCGAAAGTAATTTTTTATTAAGTATTTCTGCGTTTTTTCAGTGGATTGAATTTCCAAGATCTGATGGCCAGGCAGGGTGCTATCGATTCCCCACCAAAAACTCCTTTCATTATGGGATCCGAGTGCGCAGGTGACATCGAGCAAGTTGGCGAGGGCGTGGAGAACTTTAAAGTAAGTGAACTATTAAGCATTGTTTGCTGAAAACTTCCATGCGACTAATACTGTCAATTGCCCCTCCCATAAAGAACTTATTAAAAATAGTTCCTTTTTCAGTCTCATTGTATAAAGATTTTGTTACTGACCAATGCTTCCTACCTTTTCCAGCTTATATTAACTTTCTTGGTCGTTTCCTCTAATTTAATGTAAACTATCGAAGCTTCAAAAACGTTCCAATACTTTTACTTATTGTCACCACTTTTCTATAAAATTATTTTCACATAAACCAACTAACAAACGAACTTAATCCTCTGCAATCCATTGGTGTTATTATGGACACAGTTTAGTTTTCACTCTCATCTATGAAAGAGAAGAATAGGCAGCTACTGTACAAACGACTTTAGAAACATTTATAATTGCTTTTTCCTTTAGAAATAGAATCTTTGATTTCAAGTTGGATTCGGTAAAAAGGTTCTCCGAATGTAAAGAGTTAAATGAATAAACGGGGAAGCAAATTTCATAGCCTTTTTAAAAAATATATTCCATGTCGTTTCATTCCTGGTGATTCACCCAGTATAATTTACTAACATCACCGTGAAATATGTACAAAAGGGTGGAAGACCCAAAGGATCGCTCGATATGATAATAAATGTAAATTGGTACAAAGAGGAGACGTATATTTTTTCCTTTTTTTTTCGCATGCACACTGTAATACGTTGGATAGTTATTCCTTTGAGTCGGCCCGATTCCTATCGATTTTTTCGTGGTCGCTTCCGGTCAGAACGACGTCTATTTTCCACAGACAACGACGCAACGCGACGTCACGTTGAAAATATTGCGCATCCACTGAGGAAAAAGCGACGTCACGCCTACGGACGTTATTGTCCCGCCAAATCACCTGTCCTTGGTGGCTGTTCTTTCTCTCCAATGAGATATGGTTATCGTGTTTAACAAGATGGAAAAGAGTCTATTTTATGTGAACACGTTGTAGACTTTACCTACTACCAGGAATGAATATTTGAAAGAAAGTATATTGAAAATACTGTATGATTGAAAATGCGTATGAAGAAAATATGTGTACTGTATAGTATGCGCTATAGAATCTATGCCAATTGTGTGCAAATTATGGTTTGCAAGCCAAACGTGACGCTTCGTGACTCTTGATGTGGCTCTCAGTCTCATAAATCTCTTTCAAGATTATTAATAATTAATCAGTGACAGAGAAACATCGACGTGTATATCATTAATTAATGTATAATAACAGGTGAATGTTAAAAAAAGGGCCATTTTTGATAACGCCTGAAAATTAAAAGTTCTTTCATGACTTTTAAGACCAACTTCCAAGGAAGAAAAAATTCCTTTATCATTTTGCCGAGAAACGATGGGAAAGTTGTCAAAAATGAATATATATTATGACATAGAACATTGAGAAAATGGATATTTTTATCGCACGAAAAAATTAATGCTAAAGAAAAAGACTAACAAAGTAACAAGTACCTATATTCGTACAGTAATAATGAAATCACGCGATATTGCGAGACCGGCATACAATGTGTTAAGTGAAGGAAAAAAGGAGGAAAAAAGGTTGAAGAACCGATATACAGTCTGCCATAGGCAAAATATTTACTCGGTTGAAAATCCTAGGAACGTCAGGTAGTCTAACCCTGCCTCCATAAACGCCCTTGTAACTAAATACTTGGTAAAATAGTGCCCACTAAATTGTAGGATTATTACCAAAGTAAAGATGTTCTACGGAAATTTCTTTAGTAGTAGTAGTTCTTTTAATTTTCTATTGTCAGTCAACATATAATATGGCCCTGTACGAAAAGTATACTGTCACTATCACCGATGACTGACATGACTCTTAACGTGTAAATACTAATAGTTTGTTAATTAAACAAATAATTCGTTTGATGCAATAATTCTATTAGAACTTGTATCTAGAACAAAATAAACATTATAAATAAATCGCCGTATCTCGGTAGAAATATCTATTAGCAGAACGTAATTGGGTAAGTCTCTGTTACACATCCTAAAACAGCTGTTCGAACTACTCTCTATTTCACTCGTACTCCTGGTTTCTCCCTTTCCGAGATAGATAACAGTTGGTAATTCCTAGAAAGCTTACCTCCCTTGATAACCATCGAGAGTCCAATTCGCGACAGTTAAGCGGGCACTACCATATTTGCCTCGCTACAGAAAACTCCTATCGTATTTGACAAATTTCTCAATTGTTACTTCACAAGACACATAATTCTGTTACAGGCTTTGTTCATCTAGCACTGGGACTATCAAACACATCGAAATGATGGGTTTCTAATCTTTTATTTCGAATTTCTGGCAACTTTTATCGAGAGAAGAGCACAATTGTCGGTAGCTCTAGTGTCAAATCACATCTTTGAGAAATATATGCTATCTAACTAAAGATCATCACGGAAAAGCGATAGGAGAGGAAAGTCTCTCGTCAAATAGGAAGAGATCGTTCCGTTCTCGTAGACAGTCGTTTTGCTGCGAAAAGTAGCTTGAATACACTTCGGGTCTGCCCTATCCAAAGAAAATTCGTTCTCGAAATAGTCGTTCCGCGTTCAACCGTCGTCCTTGAATTTTTCACCCACTAATCTTTCCGCAAGGGTGGAGTCCCACGGTACTTTTCCGAGTCCGTGACTCGGTAGACGCCGCAGGAAAACGGTTCTTTCTCTCCTTTCTCCCTCTCTCCCGCCTCTCCTTTCTGTCCCTCGCATCGTGGGGTGGTCTATTTTCGCGACTC